GTCTGTTTAAATGTAAGTAGGTGGGTTTTCTGTGTGCCATGGGCACGTAAAACTAAAGATCTCTTATTTAAAACTAATAATTAACATCTACTTCTTCACAGCATTTTTGGGGGGCAAAAAACAACCCACTGAGAAGAAAAAGCCCATGGTTTTGGAGAAGAAAGTTGATTTAGCCACATTTCAGATTTGTGGAGAAAACCAAAAAAATGTGGATGCAACTGAGTCCTGGATAAAAAATTTAATTTTAAAGGAACAGTTTGAAGACAGTATTTCAGATGAGCTAATTGAAAATTTTGATAAGAGGCAAATTGACACTTTGGCAGATCTCCAGAGAAGAAACCGTGTTACCATTAAGCTTGAAAATGAACGTTCCCCCCCTTGCATTAAAATTTCTGGTATTAGCAGGGATGTGTGTTCAGTGTATGTGGAAGTTCAAAAAATGATCCAAAAAATTAAGGATACTGAAGAAGAACGATCCAAGGCAGAACTTGTTTATAACCTGGTAGAATGGAGGTATCCAGGAAGCAATGATAGCTTTGTTGCTTTTGATAAACTGACAAATATGCAGCTGGAGGATGCCAAAAGAGCTAAAAAAACACATCTTACTGTCAAAATTAACAAGAAGAACTACAAAGTGGATCTGAATACTCTACAGGCTAATGATGACCAAGGAAAAACTATAAACATTCAACGTGTGCCAAAGAATGAAGGTAAATTACAGCTTTGTTAATAAAAAAAACCTTTAATAGTGGTTATTGAATGATAATTCTGATAAATGCAAACTCAGGTATTCCAAAGAAGTAAGCTATTCCATAGCTTTTTTTCCTTTTTCTCCCCACCGCCCCCCAGGCATGCCATAGCCAGCAGTTTTAGTTTCATAATTAGTTGCAGGTATGACTGAAATCAGAACATCTATTTTAAATACAAATATTATCTGTACGTATGTGACTAGTGAGCATAGATTTCATACTTAAGTCTGACAAAGGAAGTGGTGCATGAAGAATGCGTAAAATCCTTCAAGCTTTTCAAACTTGTTTTTGTTAGATATTGGTATGAGGATAATTAGACTAGAGAAAATGTAAAGTCTTAACAGTGCATTACAGAGCCAGTGATGTATTGAAGAGAGAGAGTATTCTTGGAATAAAGTATTGCATAAGGTACTGTCCTCTCAGCCCTCTATATGCAGTTGGTTTGTAAGATATGCCTACAAAACTGGGCTAGGTATCTGTGCAATCTCTGTTTTGCAGATAAGCAGTCAGTAGAGCTCCCTACGCAGTGGGAAGACATGCAAGATGAACGGGTCAAACTGGTGAATCTCAAGCCATCATGTCAGGAATATCTGGAAGTTCAGAACAAATTTAAGAAAACCTGTCCTAGCTTTGTCATAGAGAAGGTGAAATCCTATGGGGGGGGGGGGCGAAGTGAATTTTTGGGCTAAAAACATTAATATACTTTCTAAATACTTGTTTGTAGGGTGTCTGCAACCTAATACACCTTTCATATGTCAGTCTCCCCAGCACTGTACAGGGTGGATATAAATCAAATCAAATTTCCTAAGAGTTGCCCTGCCATTTCTGCCTTCTAATAATGCAAAGCCAGTGACCATCAGTCTTCAGGCTGACTCTGTGTTCAACTAATGTGGTACTCACTGTTAATGTGGTATTTCCAATTAGGAAATTCTATATTGAAATGGAAGCATGAGCAAACGCATTCAGAATACAAAGGAAAATATAAAGTCCTTGCAGACTGGCCATAAGCTTTTTACTATTTACTACTTCTTCCCTGTCAGTCCTAGAGCCTTTCAGGGTAGAACGTTGGTTTTAACCAAAGTGTCAAGATTTGATTCTGCTTATTGAAAAGACTGCAACACAGTGCACAGAGATTTAATTGCCAGGGAGAAGATGGAGTTATTCAGAATCAGGAGGAGCGATAAATAGGAGAAAATACAATGAAATTAAGAGTGAGAATATGTTTGAAAAATTTTCTTCCATCATGAGATTCAATGAGCATGGTCACTAAGACACAAATAGAACAAAATACTGGTGTACAATGGAAGAAATCAGGTAAAGACATGAAGTCTTTTTCCATTGAAAATGGAAAGCTGTTACAGCAATGCCTTTAAGATTATACTTTGACGCAGATACACTGTTTCCCCCTGAGCTATATTCACATTGTTGGCATAGGGAGCCAGCAACATCTATCCTCCCACCAATTTATTTTTATATAGGAGTTTCTTATGGGTTGCTAAGCTACACAGTAAAGGAAGTAATTTTGACCTCCAAGCTGCGATCTAGAAGAGAAACAAATTCAATGTAATGCTATTGCTACAGTCTACCCTTTAGTGAGAAAATCATCAGGAAAGACGATTAGGATGTACAGAAAGGCATCTTACATCATTGCCTCTAGCAGTGGTACAACAGCCTGTTTCTAAAAATGACAATGCACAGCTACCATGATTGCCTGCGTGCCTGGTATACTAGGCAAGACAAACGTAAGCCAAAAATTACCAAGCTTGAAAACCTCTTGTAAGCTACTTTAGTTTCTGATTTTTCAGGAGGCTCACTTATTCAGTTCCCCAACCCAAACCACCCACTAACAGGGCATAGTGAAAATTACTGTCATTCTTTCAGTTTCGTTTGGTTTTAATGCTTTCCTGCCATGATAAGTATTGGTCCCTACCAGTATAAATATAGTTCTATTTTGTAACTTTGCAGATTGAAAGAATACAAAATCCCTTCCTCTGGCAGACATACCAAATCAAAAAAATCTCTCTCTGTACAAAGAACAACAATGAAAATAATGAGAAGTTGCTATTTCATGGGACAGCTGCATCCTCATTGAGCACGATCAACCACAATGGATTTGATCGTGGGTTTGCTGGAAAGAATGGTGAGTCATTATCCAAAGCAGTTAATTTCCTAAACTTGTATGAGGTGCTAGGGAATGTCAATGTTATAGTGCTGTCAGTGCAACGTGAAGACTGAATAAAGTTGGAGAACAAAATAATAAACAACTCTGGAGCATAATCTATATGAACAGAGGAATTAACCTGTTCAGTTAATCCCTTGTTGATGAATGCCACCATCTAGAGGGTATCAGAAAAAGCTCGTCTACTCTGAAATCAAGCCTGGGCAGCTTTTGAGAAATGTTTTGTATGATCTGCCTACAGAAAGGAACAAGGACTGCTGTTCAACATCCTCAGCTGAGATACCAGCCGCTAGCTGCTGGTATCTCCTCTCTTCTTAGAGAAAGGCGGGTAGCAAAGTAGAGGCGCAGATACTTCTCCTGTTGCCTCCAAAGATAAGGACAGCACAAGCAATCAGAAGATCCCACTCCCCTACCATTTTTATGCAAATGAAATCAGTTGAAATTAATAAATTAATTCTTCCCCTTTAATAGTTGTTAGGGATAACTATTAAATATTTAGCAGAAAGACTTTCTGCATTAGTTCAAAGATTGTTTTGTCCAGTTCCTCTAGTACAGTCATGTTATGTTTATTATTTGGTAGCATTCAAAGATGAAGGACAGGATCCAAAGAAGTGGAACTTGGGCTGAATTGAGGTGCCAGTTGCTCTTAGAGGTCCTGCAACCTTACTTCAAAAGTCCTTACTTTCTCTTCTTAACGTTTTCTTCCTTGAGACATAATTGTACATGCCTAGGTCTGACTTGATCTTGAGACAGCTGGACAGCTTAACTTAGATCTAGTTGACGTTTCAGTGTGGTCTGGATCCAAAGGTAGACATTTCTCTGACTGGATTCTCTAGAGGTGCTTACGCTGATATTTTCTTGAGAAAATGAAGCCCAACATACACAAAAGATATCAGGCTGTGCACAGCTAGAAATGGCAGCCACCATTTCTTTTTAAAACATGACCAGAGGAGGTGTAGTTTCGCTTTCCTGCTCTTTGGTAGTGCCAGGAGGTTGAATTTACTCGGGAAGCAAGAGCCCTAGATCCCCATGTCCTCTCTCTGCCTGTGAGTATTGACATCCACCTCTCCATCTCAGCCACGATTTATGATAGGAAAGGCATGCTTCCCTTCTGTCAGGCTGGGTAGCCATGCAAAAATATCCAAAGATCAGAGCAGCCAGATAGGAAGGATCTGTCCAGCCTGAACAGCTTTCTACCAATGTCAGAAAAAAGAAATCTGTCTCAGACAAAGAAACGTGATTCCTCTAACTTCTTGTTGTGAAGTGTAACTAGAAAACTGTAATTACAACCATACAGTCATTTTAAGTTGAAAAGGCTCTGAAGATTTGCAGTTTGATGGATTGCAGGCTAAACAACAAGGCTAAACAGAGAGAGGAACCCTTTTCCCCATAGGAAAGAGCAGTCAAAACCTGGGTGTTGATACTCACCTGACATCTAAGTGGATTCATACTTGATTCTGATACAAAGGATTATTACTAGAATTTGCTGTTTAAACTCTAATCAAATTTATAACTTCCACAGAATTAAAAACAAGATCTTTAGAGATTCTTATGGGAATAAGAACACTAACTATATTTGAAAACGTTGTCTTTCCAAACAGCTGCAGTCATTGGAAATGGAACCTACTTTGCTATTGATGCAAGTTATTCTGCTCAGAATACTTATTCCAGAGCAGATACGAACGGCAGAAGATACATGTACTTGGCTCGGGTCCTCACTGGGCAGTACTGTGCTGGGAGTGGAGGACTAATCACTCCACCACCAAAAGACCCAGCAGATCCTACTGACCTGTACGACAGTGTGGTTGATAATGTGAATAATCCAACAATGTTTGTCATATTTAATGACATTCAGGCATATCCTGAATACCTTATTACTTTCAGAAAATAGAATATTCTTAACAGTCTGGAAAATTTTAGTGCCTTTTACATGTGAGAATTAACAGGGCAATTCTTGATTCTTGTTTATGTCTAGGTTTCTTAAACTAAGTGGTTGTTTATCTATCCATGTGTTTAAATATGTCTTCAAATTATCAACACAATGAGGCCAGGATAAGCAAATATTTTAGAACATGCTCTTTCAATACCCACATTTCAAATTCAGTTATGCGGAGGTATAGGCAAGAACTGTGAAAACAGCTCTGACCTCTTCCTATGCAAAGCAGAGGGGACTGGTAGGGGAGGGAGCTGCTCTGCCTTACCTGTGGCCTGAAGTAAGGGGTGTAGGGTAGGCCAGTGCATCTATGCATGTTCCTATTTCCAGTATTCACCATTGTCCTGGTTTCAGCTGGGATAGAGTTAATTTCCTTCCGAGTAGCTGGTATAGTGCCGTGTTTCGGATTTAGGATGAGAATAATGTTGATAACACACTGATATTTTAGTTGTTGCTGAGCAGTGCTTGCACTAAGTCAAGGACTTTTCAGCTTCTCGTACTGCCTTGCCAGCGAGTAGGCTGGGGGTGCACAAGAAGCTGGGAGGGGACACAACCAGGCCAGCTGACTCAAACTGGCCAAAGGGCTATTCCATACCATGTGACGTCATGCTGAACAAAAAAACTGGGGGGAGTTGGGGGGCGTGGCCACTGCTCAGGAACTGGCTGGGTATTGGTCAGCGGGTGGTGAGCAATTGCATTGTGTATTGCTTGTTTTGTGTATTCTTTTATCATTATTATTTTCCTTTCCTTTTCTGTCCTATTAAGTTGTCTTTATCTCAACCCACGAGTTTTACCTTTTTTCCAATTCTCTTCCCCCCATCCCACCAGGGGGGAGTGAGCGAACGGCTGTGTGGTGTTTAGCTGCCTGCCGGGTTAAACCACAACAACTGTAAAGCACCAAGTGGCTGGTTGCCTGTGAGGATTTATTTAAAACGCTCCGTGTTGGAGGAGTAACCTCTCTCACCAGCAGAGTTTTCAGTCACTCAGGCATCCGCTCACCCTTGTTGGTGCTAAGAGCCCTGAAGAAAAAAAAAAAATCCAATATTGAACATACACTTTGCATTCATTGTTTCACCCCCCCTTATGCTGTTGTATACATCCAATTTCCACATACAAAGTCATTGCTTCTGGAATTTTTAAGACAGTAAAGAGGGACTTTTAATTTCTTCTGCTCAGTACTGAAACATTAACCCCTCTGTAGAATTACCAATTTGCAGAGAGTCATCTACAGGGGCATACTCAGTTACCACGCTTAAACCATTTGAAAATTTTTCAAGTTCTGTAAAGCAAGTAAATGATGGCATTTGTACATCTTTGCAAGCTGTGCACTTAATTATAGTGATAATCTTACAACTGCCAATCAAAAGCCATATACATGTGATTTTAATAAAAGTAGTTTCAAACAGCTACTTTGTATTACTGAGTCGTCATTTACACAAAGGAACACAAAGCAGAAGTGTCGCTTTACATTTGAGTATCTTTATGTTATAGTGATGCTATAAATAGTGAGAAGCTGAAAAGACTTAGAAGACAAAATTGTTTTCTTGTATTACCTGTGTGACAGATTTGTGCGTATAGACTGCAGCTGAAATTGTTCTGCTGTAGTCCAAAGGAGACCTGTGCTGCAAATAGCTGCCAGGATGTCTTAAAACCCTGCCAGCGATGTTCCCATTGCCTGCAAAGGGGAAAAGTGCTTATGGTATCTGCAGGTGGCAATATAAAAAATTTCTGCTCTTCTCAGCAGATGCCCATGCAACACTTCAGGTTAACATCCTGCGTAAATTCCCATTTAAAGCAAAACAGAGTTTATCCCGTTCCTGCTTTAATAGAATTTGCTCTCTGGACGCTTTTCTCCCTCCTCTGCTTTTTTGGGTGCTTTTCTGTATTGTGGAAATGCCACAGCAGCCCAAGGGACTCGGGCAACTGGTTTAACTGATGGCACCAGCCAGCTTCTCCGCCTGCTGTCACCGAGCTGCTGGGTGACCCGGGATGTACCACCTTCTATTTGCGTGGCCCTCGTTATAATTGAATGCCTTGGAAAGCAGCAGGAGCTGCAAGATGAAGTACTAAAAAAACCCCGACAATGTTTATCCCCGGTGGTGGTGGTGGTAGAAGTTTCTGTACTAGAAACTTGGGGATACTCTGTTGTACAGTGTTTGTGGACTGAGAAGCTGGAAAAAGGACGTGTTGCATATGAAAAATGAAATCCCAGCCCTGGAGTCGAGCGCTGGGATGGGGTGGCCGCAGCAGGCCGGCTGCAGGAGGACCTTTGCTTCTGGGCAGTAGGATTTCAGACTTACGCCCTGGAGCAAACTCCTCAAGGCGCAGGACTCCCAGGGACAAGGAGCTCGGTCTCAGGGAGAGAATGAGGGGCCTTGTTAAGCCGGGGACCTGGCGTCCCAACCTGAAACTGGCTTTAATAGCAGCAAGGCAACCAGAGCCCTGTGGGGTGCACTGAATCTCATGCCGTAATGTGATGCACAGTTCCCCACTGCACTGCATGCACCACATTGTGCTGCGCTTACATGGATTGCGCTGCACTGCGTTGCGCCACACAGCACTGCCATCACCCTGCGTTGCTCTGCACAGTGCTGCACTGCCCCCCACCACGCAGCACCCCATTGCCCAGCACTGCATGTGCTGCGCAGTGCTGCGTTGCCCTGCACACACTGCATTTCTCTGCACAGTGCTGTGCTGCACTACGCGCACTGCATTCTTGGCCCGGCGCCGCACTGACCCATATACGCTGCATTGCTCCACACAATGCACTGCATCGCCCTGCACTGCGCTGCCCTGTGCTGCCTTGCCCCACACTACTGCCCTGCACCACTGCGCAGAAGGCTCAACTGCAGAGCACTGCGTTCCCCTGCAAGCACTGCGTTGCGCTGCATTGCTGCCCTGCAGAATGCTGCGCTGCACTGCCTTGCACTGCCTTGCACTGCATTCCGCTGCACGGCGCTGCATTGCTCTGCGGCGCGCGGCCGCCTCCCGCCGCGCGCGCCCCCCGTCACCTTCACCTCACCTGCCCGCCCCCCTGCCCCACCCCTCACTCCTCGGTGAGCCGCGCCCAATCAGAAGCGTCCGTCGCCTCCGCCCCACCCTCTCCCGCGCT